TTGTACATGCAGTGCTGCCATCTTCTGTTTCAGTCCGTTATTACACTCTTAAATCCTACTACTTATTCCTGCGTCTTTTGGGATCTTACAAAGCTTCAAACGATGCGTTGACTATTAAATTAAATCGTCGACGTAATCGTGACTAGTCGACTAATCGTGGCAGCCCTAGAGTAGATCACAGAGCATGCACACAGAAAGCTGAGAAATCTGCACATTATCTGATTGAGTCATATGTATATAAATACATACAGTGTTGTGCACAAGACACGAGATATTTTGAATGCCTCCTTATTTTGTGCTTACTTCAAATGTTTAGTACATTTAGTAAACTTGATTTGTTAAATCATCAGTGGGCGGTGTTTTACCAGTGGCTGAATTGACAGGTCTTCGGACGTGCAATGAACCATTTGCTATTTCCTCAAAAGACTGAACTGATTGAACTATAACTGGCAGCTGAAATCATGTTTTGGACATGGAGGGATTGTTTCTTCACATTCATCCGACAGCTTTAGCTAACTCGTGAAAGATTCAAACTATTTTAAACAGGAATTTACGAGCAGCACCTGTGAAGAGGTTATGATTCGAGTTTGATTGGTTCATGCTGATTTCTACTGCGGTACCCACCACAAACACTCTGGCCTCCAGCTGGTTGTGTTTTGGTTGTATTCCTATAGAACAGGAAGGTTGCTGAGTGCAAATAATTAAATGTGAATCTCTGTTAAATATGAACCATTTATTACAGTTATTTGACCCATTTAATCGTACACTGATTGCAGAATGACGCAACGTTTACAGCAACTTTTTTTTTCATTTTTTAATTGAATTTGAGAGGTAATTTATAAACATTTATAATGTGACCATTCACATTAACACAAAATCATGTGATCCCAAAATTAATTTGAATGGTTTAATATTTGCCAATAATCCATTTGCACAGCAAAGCCACTCGCGTAGCTTCAATGTTAGCTTCTAGCACTTGCATAGCACTTTATTCAGCTGACGTGTCGCATGCAACTTGTGCATGTTCAGTTGCAATGTATGCGCACTTACATGTGAATAAAAAGGGCTGAGAGAGACTCCAATAACAATATAAAGCATTTCCAGAGTTTTACCTCCAGTTGGCGCTTCACTGACTGTAATTATGTAACAGACTACATCCTCTTATTTGTTTTAAAGAGGCTCTTTTTCTTTTAAAATGTGTCTGTTTTTTCTGCTCAGGAGAAAAGTAAAAGCAGCATTCTCTGTCTGATAACACATTCAAATCAATGGGTCCTCATGTTTTCAGCTCTCCCGGCTCTATGGGGTGT